GCTCCACCCAACCTAATTGTGCTTTTTCTGTTTGTGTGTGTTGTCCGCGTCTTTTATCCCTCTCCCATTCCCTCTCCTCTGTTTGTTTAAGATGATATTTTAGGTGGCATCCTGAAACCCACAGTGGCCTCTCCCAACCAGGGCCTGACGCCCAGCGCCCATCAGCCAGGCAAACTGGTTTCCGATGACTTGGATTCCTCCCTTGCCAACCTTGTGGGAAGTAAGTGTCCTGTTCTTGTTATATATACAAACAACCTTCTGTATTAGGGCTACACGATTAATTGAAAAGTTGTGAAATGGCTTAGTGTGATTTATTGAATCACAAAGGCTGTGATTTAATTAAATGAATATATTCACAAACACACAAACTCATCTCTTCATGTGCTATGAATATAGGTTGCTTATGAAATGCATTTGAGAATTCAACATTTGTTAACCATTTTAACAAATTTGTAATAAGAAGTGATTATAAACTTTATCTTTAAAGTAATGTCTTTAATAATTGTATTTAGTAATATTAATAACAACAATAATCCTAATACTATTACTACTGCTACTACAAATAATAATTTATATTGTTGCTCGTATTAAATACTAATATATTAAAGAAATATTACTATTTTAATATTTCACTGTAACACAAACATTTATATATTACATTCAATATATTGATATATTAACAAAATGTTTGGCCAGATTGTGCAGCCCTGCAAACAAGCATAACAAACCTTGAGCTTTTTTTGTTGTTTTCCAAATTTTGCAGCCCTTAATCTGTATTCTGGTACTAATAATCAGGAACAGGAAATGTAGTTTTATTTATTGATTTAGGATCCTATAAAAGTGAATTTAGCATTTCACAATGGCTGGCATAGTCCTCACTGGTTTTCTCTTTCTTCCAGATCTCTGTATTGGAAATGGAACAACAAAAAAGTATGAACATTCGCCACTCATCTCAATCCAAATTCATAGTTCTCTTCAAACTCAGTGACTTGATCATGGTTGTTTCTTCTGTTCCTCCTCAGTGACATTCATTGGAGTCAACCCGGTGAAAAGAAGCTGACTGGAGGAACCAACTGGCAACCAAAGATGGCTCCGACCACAACATGGAACCCTGCCTCCATGGTGAGGACAACAATATGTGCTTTCTCTGACTCAAGTGAAACGAGACTTGAAACCACTGTCATAAACCAATAGACAGACAATAGCTGGAGTTCCTCCACTGATTCTGAAACATGGGCTCTGTTCCAAACCCTAATGAGCTGCCTCACTGTCTGCTGTCTAGATGGGCAGCTACCTTCTAAGACTGCATCATAAGTGACTGAATTGAAAGGCTGTACATTAGCAAAAACTCCATTTCATGAGTCCAATGTAGCATCCCGATGCTTGGACGATGTATACAGACACAAATGGCTCGCAAAATGCTAACATTTGTTTTGAATATGTCCACTTATCAATAGAGAGGATAGTTTACCATGGTTTACACTCCTGTCTCTGCAAACATTTGTTTAACCTGCTTTATTATAATGTGATGTTGGAACTTTGAGTCAATGATGCATTCCATTTACATCGTTATCTGTGTTTATCATTAACCGTGAACATCTCTGTTGGTGCTGGTATGCTCTTGTGACATCGAGACATCGTTTGACAATTTCTGAGTTGGAAGTACAACTTCCAAGTGGCGTTCTGTTGCACTTTTCCAAATTGGAAGTTGATTCCATTATACTTTGGAGTTAGCATGTGGCTAAGCTAACAACTTAATACTTTACACAAATATTGGATGAAATAGTACATTTAATTAGAACTATTTTCTAGTGATGCATTTCAGGACTAAATAATTATCAACATCTTTATATATATATATATATATATATAAATAAAACTTTTTTTTTATTAGTTTTCTAATAAAATATAATTATATAATTTATTATATTTAAGTTAAAATTAAATATTATATATTTAAAAGTTTAGCAATACTTTTCAGGACTGAATAATTATTTATTACTATAATTATTTCCCTCAATTCTGTATTTAAGTATTTATTTACTTATGAAATATTTTTATGTAATTATTTTTGTTATAATTGAATTTGATTTATTTACTACTTATTTCACTGAGGTTGAATATATGCGATCCTGCTTTTATTTGGACCAAAATGAGGTATTTTATTAAGCAACTTGTTTTGCTGCCTACTGTCCTTAAAACGTTGCCTAGATAGGCAGCACACTAGCATTTGGAACAGAGCTGTAATCCACTCTCAAAAACAGCTGGAATGTATTCTGTCTCGTCTTTGTTTACAATGTGTTTGTGTGAGCTCACAATGCGAGAAGTTATTGTGTTGAATGCCCTCTAATTGTGTTTGTTGCGTTGTGTAACCATTCTCGTCCGACGGGATAAACAGAATGGCATGCTTTTCCCACAATACGTAAGTCAAAACGCTGAGTTGAACCATTCTCTGAAACGCATGAGAGTATTAACCCCACCGCCTTTGCTTTGGTCACAGTTTATGACCTGTGTGTGTTTGAGTGACCAAAATTGCACTGAAACCCATGAGCTGATCTAACCAGATGTTATCTCGGCATGGCTGACAGCTCTGTTCCTCCTCTACCCTTTCCTCTCATCGGTTTCATTTGTTTATCGCCATCAGCAAACAACTGTAGTCAATGGGCTAGTGTTTCCAGCGGAGGGTTTACCGGACAATATGCAAAGTCCAATAAAGTATGTAATCAACCAGTTCGAGTCATGCCTTGGTAAACATTCTGATGGAAACACTTCCACCGGAGAGTTCTTTCTTTCGTAAACAGGATATGCTGAGCTGGATTGATCAGTACATCAGCATGATTTAGTCATATTTACTCCTACTGAGTTGTTTGTGCTTGTCAAACATTTCTGTAGGTGCCATTTCTCCGAAGATTACCGTACGACTGAGCTGTTTGCTTAACCTAGCTAGAAGTTTACGAAGTACCTTTTTTCTCTTAATGAGATTCCTCAAAGTCTGCAAACACATTTATCTTTCATCATCTTGAGATTCACTGCAGCCTGTTCTAATTTAGTGGGATGCACACAGAAAAACACACAAGGTTGTGTTTTATATTAGGCTGTAAATTGAATTCTATTTTTTATAAAATGGATAATTATGGCTCCAAATAGGACAAACTGTTCAGAGCATTTATTACATTTTATGTCAAAATGTTTTTTTTATTGTTCTAAGGTTTGAGGATTGGTAAGATTTAAAAAAATGTTTTTGAAATAAACCACGTATGCTCACCAAGGCTGTATAATTTTGGTCATAATATAGTAAAACCAGTAATATTGTGAAGTATTATAACAATTTAAAATGTAATTTTCTCCTGTGATTTCAAAGCTGAATTTTTAGCATCATTACTCCAGTCT